GCCATCACTTTTGCTTTAATGAGCCTGAATCAGTGTCCAATTTAAATCCAACATACTCAAACGCTCACTGGGCGTCTGTGGCTGAGTGGTTAGAGCGGTCGTCCTCCAATGCGAGGGTTGGGGGTTCGAATCCACCAGCAGTCACATGCCGAAGTGTCCCTGGGCAAGACACTGAACCCCTCGTTGCCTCCGATGTGTGTCCCATCAGTGTATGAATGTGATAAAACACTGATTAGTCTCTTTAGAATGATTTGTTCAATTAGCTTCGTACAAAGTAGAGCTGTATGAACATGAGGACACAGATTGTAAAGATCTTTGAGTATCTCGACAAGCTAGAAAGGCGATATACAAATACAGTCCGTTTACCATTTACTTGAACCAACAGGTTTACGTTTTGCATCGAGCGTTAGAGCTTGGCGATTACCTCGAGCACAAACGTTAGTCGTCACCAGCACTTTCTCTTTTCCATCTTTGAAGCGTTCAATGACTGCAGCCCTCTGCTCCACCTGCATTTCTCCGCTCAGCAGCGCCACCTGGTGGTTTTCTCTGGACAGCTCTCCTGCAAGCCAACCTGCAGTTCTTCTCGTCTGCATTACGCCACAGGGAGGAAAAAGTGCTGAAGCCACATGATCGCAAAGAAAATGATGCAGGACGCCAGTTGTAACGAATTAAAGTATTAAACACTCTGACAAAGGTGCTTTGTAATAAATAAGCAACAAAAATTATAATCCTAAACATCAAGATCTGATAAAGTACCGAGAAGAAAAATCTACAAAAAACTTGTATGTTCAGATTAAAAATAAATCATGAAAGAGGGTTAATTTTTTAATATAAATTGTTTATAAAAATAGCCCATGATTAAACTCACGTGGCAGAAAATCATGGCTTGAGCGATTGTGATGGCTCCGTAGATGTTACAGAGAGCCTGGAACTTCTCCTCCTTGCTGTTGCACAACACATAGTACTGCTTGATGGTGTCCAGCGTCTCCTCCTCCCTCTTCAGCTTGATGATGTTGGGATCTGGCACGATGCGCTGAGCGAAGTTCCAAACGGTCTCCTCGAACGTGGCCGAGAAGAGCAACATCTGGCAGTTTTTAGGCAGCGTCCTGCACAGTGAAGATGTGGAGAAAGTCTTTGAAGATCAGCAGTAGTAACGATTGAGTTTCATGTTTATTAACAGCACTCTTCTGGCTTGGTTGAATGGAGCACGAGCGTTTGGTTCTGTCGCACTGACAACGCATGAATCATCTCGTTATCTACTGGTTTGCTTTATAGTTTATTAAGCGAGGCATTTGCTTTAAGATGTTCCTTTATTAAATATGGGTATGAGTTTCCTGCAGAGGCTAAACTTCATGTAATCTTTCTCTGACACATTCAAGTTTTTATTTATTTTTTGGTTAGAAGTTCAGATATTAAAGACTGGAATGTGACTGCTTCAAGCGTCGCCAGAATGTCCTGCAAAATTAGCAACTTCGTTCAATGCCCATGCTCCACTTCTTTTGTCTTCTCACTTAAATTTTGGACATGTTCAAAAACTGAGCAACAAATCTCTTAAAGTTGAGGTGGATCTCACAAGTCTGTCTAAATTTGGGAATCTCAAACCCATCTCGTATGCTCAGAAGTTGTACTTTGACAAGATGGACACGAAGATTTGGTGCACAGCCTTGAATACAATTTAGTAAATGGCACACACGACTTAAAGCTGCGATTCTAAAAAAAAAATCAGCTGCTCCAAATACATGAGAGCAGCTTGTTGGTCACGTGGACACAAAGAATTCAGTGAAACTACTTCTTTCAGCTTTCCTCTCTTCAGCGAGTCGTCCTCCATCTCACTCTGTCCTCACTCCAGCTGCCTCCATGTCTCTAACTGCATCCATACATCTTTCTGTCTTTTCCTGGCAGCTGCATGTCTAACGTCCTTCTACCAGTATTCCCACTGTCCCTCCTCTGTCCAAACCATCTCAGTGTGTCCTCTCTAACTTTATCTCCCAGTTCAACCTGTGCTGTACCTCTGATGATCTCATTCCTGATCTTCTCCATCCTTGTCTCTCCTAAGGAGAACCTCAACATCTTCATTTCTGCCACATCCAATTCTGTCTCCTGTCTTTTTGTCCATGTCTCTGTCTCCAGACCAGACAACATAGCTGGTCTCACCACCGTCTTGTAAACTTTTCCTTTGACCTTTCTGACACTTTTTTTGTTGTTGTCACAAATCACTCCTGAAACTTTTCTCCATCCTGCCTGGACTCTCTTCTTCACCTCTTTACCACACTCCCCCTTTTTCAGTATTCAGTGAGACTGCAGTGGAAGTTTCTCATATTTTCTTGCAACACTGAGTCAAATCTAAATGGACCCTCCTACAGTTGTAACCCGGTGAGAAATAAAACGCACCAGTGAATTGTCTCGTGACTGAAACAGGACTCGTTGACCTCGGTGACTTGTTAATCCAACACACAAAAATTTGACTTTTTTTTTTACCCAGTCCACGACTGAACCAAATGTGATGGTAAATGGACTGTACTTGTATAGCACCTTTAAAATACTCCATTCGCTTTACACTACAATCTGTGCCTCATTCACCCATTCATACAGCTCTATACTAGATCTCTACAAAGATAATTGAACAAATCATTCTAAAGAGACTAATCAGAGCTTTATCACATTCATACACTGATGGGACACATCGGAGGCAGTGAGGGGTTCAGTGTCTTGCCCGAGGACACTTTGACATGTGACTGCAGGTGGATTTGAACCCCCAACTCTCACATTGGAGGACGACTGCTCTAACCACTCAGCCACAGCCGATGACGATTTTAATTGTAATTTAATTATTTTGTGTGTAGAGGTTGTACTGAGTGAAGAAGACTCAAAGTTAGCCATCTGTGCTGTTTGTAAGATGTTTGAAAACTAAATTAGATGAAGCATAAAATGTTAAGAGGTAAACCGTGGAGGTAAATCTGCTGCCGGCTTACAGAGCAATGCTTTCCATTAATCCATCGTTTTAAGTTCAGTTAACTTTAGAAGTTCTCAAATTTGTAAGAGGGGGACAAACAAAAATAAAGATTAAGTAGTTTATATTATAAAGCTGTTACTTACTACACTTCTAGTTATAATAAACGAGTCATTTTAGAAAAGAATATTGTTACGATGCACTTGTTGTTAAAGGCAGGCAAAAATAAGTTGGATAAAAATGCCAAGAAGCTTCGATTTGTTTTGCAAAAGGAATTTTCTTTCAGTCAGGTTTTCAACTCCTGTCTGATAAACCTCTAGAATCTTATCTGCAGATTTACAGAAAGAGGAAGTTCTGAAATCTGAGGCGGTTTTGAAGAATATGCTAAATATATTGGACTAAACACCTTTTTTTTTTATTCGCTCAAAAAAAACCCAGAAAATAAAAATTAGTATACTGTTTGATTTTAGTTCCTGAAGTGCAGTTGGCTAAAATCATAATTGTCAGGACAGAACTTTTTAAAAAACAAACTGTAAATTGTGAATCAGCCAACAAAACTGTGATCGGTGCAGCAGCAAGCGTTTGTCTTATTTATATTCTAAGTGTTTACAGCTTTAAACTGTCACACAATGTACACTTTGTACACCACAGAAACACAAACGTGCATCTGCCTTTTCATACGAAGTTCTGACAACGGTTAGTATGAGTATCTGACCTTCTAAAATTATAAAAAGCAAAGTAAAACGACCTCACGCTCCATTGAAACACAGACATTTAGTAAAAATGTGTTTAGTTGTTTTTGAAACTGGTTTGTATGAACTCACCTCTGGATGCGGATACTCTGGTCCTGGTGACCCTGTGTGGCGATCATGACATCGGCTTCATCCAGCACAAACACTTTGATCTTCTTGGAGTCTATAAATTTGAATTTAGTGCACCAGTCCAGCATGGTCCCAGGTGTCCCAATGACTATCTGCTCCTGAAGCTTCATGCCTCGCTGCACTGGATCAGAAACAAGTTCTCAGGATTTAGTGGAACTACAAAAATAAATCAATCTATAACAGCAAAGATGTAAAACATACAAGCCTTACATTTATTCCCTCTAATGGCGTAGACTAGTTTGACTTCAGGGTAATATTTGCCCATCTGCTCGATGACGTTACCAGTCTGAAGTGCCAGTTCATAAGTTGGTGACACACACAGGCACTGACGAAGAGACAACATGAAACTTGTTACCATCATTTATAAATTATACCTACAACTAAAACATTTCAGGAACAACAAGAAGAGTACTAATTACAAACCTGGGGATATTTGTTGTTGGGGTCGACATGGCTAAGCATGGCCAGGACAAAGGCAGCTGTTTTTCCAGTTCCCGACTGAGACTGGGCGATCAGATTCTGTGGACTTCAGGGAACATCGACAATTTAGGTCTCCAAGTACACGGTTAAGTTTTTGGTTCCGACGTGTGCAACTAGTATGAAGTGACACTTTTCAAACCTGACATCTGAGATGGGCCAATGATCCTTTGTTCTGAAACACTTTGCTAAAGGTTTTCAGTAAATGATGTCAAGTTTTACTCACGGCTCAGCCAGCATCATGGGTAATGCAGTTTCCTGGATTTTGGATGGCCGATTGAATCCCATGGCATACACTCCCTGTAACAACTGTGGTTTGCTACACACAACAACAACAAAAAAAAAAGTAAATTTTAAGTCTTTCGGGAAATTTAAAACAGTTTTTGTGTAAAACCATTTTGGTGCATTGCAATACTTTAATATTAACCTGATTAAGACTTTATTCTGAATGAACTACATTATGTAAACAGCATCTCACAATCCCCTTAACCCCAAAACATTCATCCATCCATTATCTTTTACCGCTTCTTCCTTTTCGGGTCACTGGTGCCCAAGTCCAGCAGTCACTGTGCGAGAGGCGGGGGACACCCTGGACACGTCTCCAGTCCATCACAGGGACACAACGAGACAAACAAACATTCACTCTCACTCACAACTAGGGACAAGTTAGTTACCAATCAGCCTAACGTGCATGTTTTTGGTCTTGTTAAAATAACCTAAGAGGAATAATGACAATCTTCAAACTGTGTAAAGTTATTCACATTAACCCTTAGGATCCCATTAGCCTTTTTTGCACTACTGCACTGCATCTAAATGGAACATTTTAAGTGTTTTATATGCAATTTTAGACAATCCGCTCAATTAAAAAATATTTCTGTTAATTGTAGACCACCAAACAAGACAGAAGAGTCACTTACAGCCGTAATTCTTCAAAGGACTTCACAGAGTAAAGTGGAGAGTTGGGATCCTTCTGAAGAACTTCCACTTGATTTGTTGTGTTAACAAGATTATTTCGAATCAGCTTGTTCAGCAGCGACTGTGCTGCTTTATCCTCTGAAAGACATGTCACCAATCACTCAAACTTTATTTATAAAGCGCTTTACATCTAGTAAATTGTAAAAATGTGCTTTACAAAAACAAACAAACAAACTGATACAGGCAAAAATACTTAGAACTGTAAAAAGTAAAAACTGTAAGAAACTGGAAACTAAAGAAACAATTTCATTACTAAGGAAACACACGGCTGTTTGTAAAAAGTATAAAATTTACATAGATTTTAATTTTCATTCATTCAACCTTTATTTCTACAGGTTAATCCCATTGAGCCTCGAGGACTCATTTACAAGAGAGACCTGATTTCAACAAAGAATGATGACAACAATAAACAGTTATAAAAAGTCATACAGATTTTTTTTTTTTAAAACAAATAGGAAGGCTAAAATAAGAAAAGTAACATAAAACAGCTAGATTCTAAGGCGAATGTAGAAAACTAAAAACAGGAACATGTCTGCGTTGGTCCCAGGAGTCCAACAGATTCTTAAAGCCACTTAGAGAGGTCAAAGGTCGAGAGCTTCAAATCTTTTTGTAAGATATTCCAGGAAACAGGAGCAGAGTAGGAGAAGGCCCTTTTGCCTAGTTCAGTTCTCACTGAGGGAACACTGCAGGTAATAATGTCCTGAGAGCGCACGCTGTAGCTGCACTCACGCAGAGACATGTAGGAGGAGATGTATGAAGGCAGCAGACCAAGAAGTGGTTTCAATGACAAAAGCATGAGTTTAAATACAGTAGTCCCTCGTTTATCGCGGGGGATTTGTACCCTGAAGCCCCGTGATAAGTGAAAAACCACGAAGTAGGAATAGTTGTACAAAATAGTATTTTAAACTTTTTAAAAGGGTTTAAAAGTCTGAAAGAGCACAGCATGTCATGATTTCAGCTTTCTGCCATCGCTCTCGACCACGCCCACTTCTCCGCTGCAGAGCAGAGATGATGACACGCTACAGGAGGAAACTAGCTTCTCCTGCAGCTGTGGGCTGCACACAGGTGCAGCAGTGCTAAATCATTTATTTTAAATAGAAATTCCATGCCAATCGTACGGCTCATCCATCCATCAGCCACTTGTGTGTCATGTCCAATCTTACTTTGAAAAACCACGATGGAGCGAACTGCGAAGTAGCGACTACTTTATATAACAACAAAGCTAATGAAACCAAAACACAAATAAAAAATGAGAAGTAAATGACCAAGCTAGAATAAGATAGTACCGGGTACCACTGAAATATGTGGACAAACAACAACAATAATAATAATACATTATAGTAAACCAGCCAGAAACAACAAATAAAACGAGTTACTTAAAAAAAAAAACTAAATTTAAACATAATTTTCAGCCATCCTCAGGGAGGCAAAGGCTGTGACCAAAATTATTGCCTCTCTGTGGGATTTAATTCTAACTTTGCATAAACTCAGAAGAACTCCTCCAGATGATGGATCTGGAAGATTTATAGAACAGAAGCAAGTTTGATAAATAGGACTAATAAGCAATTTTAAATTGTAATCTTAGTGACATTTTTAAAGTGTCTGAAACTCAAATTAGAGCAAAAAAAAAAAAGTTTTTGTCTTGATCTTAAGGATTGTCTCTGAGTTTTACACTCTGATAAGCAGTGCCTATTATGTGGCACAAAAACCAACTACTGGTAAGCATACACCTGTGGGACAATTCAGAAGCTTTAAGAAGATCATACAAACTGTACCTTTGTCGTCGTCATCTGCAGGTTTGCTTTCTGCTTCAGGTTCTGATTTTGCAGCGTCGCTGGTGGAGGCAGCAGTGTTGGGAACCGTGCCTGCAAACAGTGACAATAGTGTGTCATGTCCTCTGGATAGAGTCTTCTTTGTCGAAACGTTTCGTCTTTACTCCAAAACAATTCAGTCCGAGGAGCTGCAACAAAGCAGGACGTTCTCATAGTGGCTCACCCAGTTTGCTGACAGACTAAACTAGTTGTTCACATGCAGGAGGATCATCAGCCTAACATACAGTGTCCGTCACAGCAAACTGGTTGATCCACTACGAGAAGGTGAAGTTTATAAGACAGATCATTGTAGTTTCTCAGACTGAAGAAGTCTTTTGGATACAAAACGAAACGTTTCAACAAAGAAGAATCCATCCAGAGGACTTGACTTAACCTTGGTAGATGTATCTACCTGGATTACTAAGGATGCATCAGGACAGTGATAATTAGTCAAACTGTAAACTTTGTGCGATATCTATAAACTTATTTTGACTGAATTTTGAGGGCTGCCCCTTTCACATGCGTGAACTTACCATTCTCTTCTGGCTTGTCTTTTATTTGAAGGCTACTGATCTGTAAGGAAAACAAAGTGACAAACTTTATCAGTAAAGCCGTCTGGCATTGTTTTTGTCTACTAGCTTGCTAACGTCGTGTGCTAACTCTTCGTCAAGCCGGCAGCTTAGTTTTCGGATTAACACAATTTTGCGGGAATTAAGTGGGTACAATAACTTGTTTTTACTGGCATCGCTGTCAAAAGACAATTTAAAGTGTAACAAAAACAAAGACGGGCAGCTACTTTTCATTCAGACAGCCACATGATGAGGCCAAAGCTAACAACAGGTTAGCTCAAGTTGCGTCAGTTCAGGCTCACCGACTCAGCCGCGGCTTCCTGCTCGTCCACGGCCTGCGCCCAGGAGTCTGTAGCCATCGCGGGATAGTTTGTCGGATTATTCTTATACTTGACGTGGATAAACTAAAGAGGCTAGCTCTAAATGACCACTCAGCAACGTGAAAGTAACTCCTTTTCTCGCCACAATGGCGTGTAAGACTCGATTCTGGATGAGTGTGCAACCACTAATGCCTCCGTGTAGTAACACTATAAGACGACAATAGATCCATAGCTAATGTGCGTACATTTTTGCCTGTATTTTCTAGTGTAGCTTATAAAATCTAAACTTGCAGAAAAAATATCTGTCATTAAATTAGAGTTTTATTTTTTATTTTTAGAAACGTCCTTTAACGCTTTAGTCCAAAAATATATTTTGATACTTTGCTTTGGTGAGCCTATAGAGGGCGCCAAAACTCTGCACATGAAGAGCGTCTCCTGGCGTATAAACTGTGAACTCACGTGTACAAATAATAGTACTGAGAGTAAAAACACAAGTCTTTATTTTTACAGTATTCTAATAAAAATAGAAAGATGTGCAAATTAAAAACTAGACTGTGTTGCGATTAACGGCGTTTGCAACCCATAACTGCCTCAAAGACACCAGGAGTCATAAAGACCCCAGGTTTTCTTGTGGCATTCATTTAAAAATATTTTGCCAATAAAGCATTTTCATTCAAACTTTTATTTGAGTTAAGTTGGTTTATGTGAACGATACAACAGCAATAACACATGGTAAAGTCTTAAGACTCAAAGCAACTCTGCTGGCTCCTCCTATAAATAATGTTATTAACTTGCTTTTTATGTATATGAATTTTCCTGTACAGTGCCCTGAGATGACTTCTGTTGTGACTTGGTACTTATGTAAATAAACTGAACTGAATTAAATGTCCATTCAGTTGCAACAAGATACTCCCATGTCTGTGAGGTCCAGGCCTGGCACAGGTTTGTCATTTTGTCATGTTTAAAGATACTTTTACTGTATTATCAATTGTTTTTACTGCATGCTAAACACGTTTTTTTCTGATTACCGTGCCACAACTTGTTTATAAAGTCAATTTTCTGTGAGTAAACTAACCTCTTGAGTTGATGATTCAAAAAGTTTGAAGTATCTGCCTCTGAGCGAGCAAAACAAACTGTTTAGATATGACACTACTATTTGTTACATACAAGTAATTCTGTTCATGTACATAATTCATAACAGTCTTTTGCTTTAGCTGACATTAAGCTACAACGATGGCCTCCTGGACTGTGCAGGAACCTCCTCGTCACCTCAGGAGCTGGACTGCTGTGGCTGTCCTGCTCCTTAATTAAATGCAGAATTGATTTCACACACTTCATCTGCTCTGCTGCCTTAGATAGATAGATGATGACAGTGGTTTTGGATTGTGCTAAAAGAGATTACATTCATCTCTGTTCGCTTGTCACCATAACAGCCAAAACCAGTGTGTGTGTGTTTATAGGTACATTTATATGCATGTGTGAACATACTCTTGTGGCTTTTAGATCATCAGTTCGTTGATAAATTTGTCAAAAACTTCAAAGAGCAGAGTTTATTGCTGCCTCCAATCAGGTGCTTTGCTGGAGGTATCCATAGCAACTGAAGGAGAAAAGGATGATTTGAGGTCTCCAGAGAATTTGGAAAAGACAGAGAAGGACTTTGTTTGCCACATGAGGACTTCTTCCAAGCAATAAATCTGACAGAAAATATATCAAAGTGGAAGTGTCACACTGTGACCGATCTGAAGAGATAACAGCCCACAAACATACAATTATTTAAACTCCACGCTTATGCGTTTAAAGCATGCTAGCTTGCACGTGAAGAATGCTCCTTTTTTAATTCAATGTGCACAAGAACATTTCCATATCTTAATTAAAAAGGATTTGCCTATAGTTAATGGAGAGCAATAAAAAATAAAATGCAAAGGAAACAAGGAGCAGAGAAAGATAAGGCAAGATCATTTATTTAAACAAATCAAAGGAAATTTTTTTTTTTTAACTGAGTTGCTTTAGTCTTATCTTATCACTTTATCTAGCAGTATAGAAATTTAAAAAATTGTTAAGTTCAAAATCATTTCCAGTGTCTCAAGGCAGCGTGTGGATTATGAGCAGTTCATCAATGATCAGGTTCGTCCCTGCCGTCCTGCAGCCTGCCGGCCGTTAAACACATTCAGCAGGTGGACGCAAGATTTACATTTAAATAGAAATGCATATAAATTTTGTATTGACTGTTCGGGATTTTAAATAAATATACTTTCGTTTTCATTATCAACTTAATTCCTCCTGAGATTACTTAAAGGGAAGTTTCAGATATTTTTGTTGTAATGATTAAAAAACAAAAAAAACTACCTGATGTAGATATGAACTTCCTTAATTTGGGGAAGTAATGTATAAATCTGATTAATTGTAGGCTACAAACTAACGCTAGTCACAGTGAAGCCATAACCAAAGTGGATTTCTGTCTTGAAACAACTCAGACACGTGTGTTCAAATCCCAAGTGTCACAAACTGTTTTGTTACTTATGGGTTTTTTTTTGTTGCTATTATTGTCTTTTGTGACATCCGTGGTTGTGTTACTCGTTGGCATTTTTCATATTTTAGCTCTGCTGTGTCATTTCTCACTCATCCTCCTTGATTTTCCAGTCAGTCTGCCCCCCCCCCCTCTACTAATGTTTGAAACATGACAGAGCACTAACGTTTCGAAGCTGTCAGCACTGATAGTAGTGGTTAAAATGTGTTAAAAGGCACGAGACCAGAGGCTCAACTGATCCAGCCTGAATGAAAAAACTTAATCCACTCCAGACAAACACAATCTTGTCTATAAAATCTTACCTCCTCTGACACAAACATCAATCCTTCTGCAGAACAACGCGTGATGAAGACCATTCTCTATCATGATACCGTCATGCAAATGATCTGTCCACGTACTGTTACATAAAAATAATACTTTATGTGAAAATACGCTGCAGTCAGACACGTTCTTGTTGTTTTAAACATGGCAGGTTCAGGATTGTTCATTGGCATCGATTTAATCAGACTCACTATGACAAATCCAGTAAACGTGAGCAAGCTGTAAAAAAATAAAATAGGTGAAAGACAGACAAGGCAACAGGGGAGAGAACGAGAGGGAGATTAAGGAGGGAATTCTCCCCAGACCTCTTCATTTTGCTTTCATTCTGAAAGAAGTTGTTACAGTTCATACCCTCATTCTTCACTCCTCGCTGTTTGCTTCATGTGTCTTTAGCAAGAGACAGCAAAACCCTGCACACCCACACCAGAATCTGAACTGGTGATGCAGCACTTGTTTCCAGTCAGCAAGGGAGCCGTGCTGAGAGAACGTGAGAGGATGAGCAGGATGGATCAGAGGCGTTGGGCTGGCAGCTGGTTGGTATTCCTCAGGCTTTGCTCAGAGGATGATGGTGCACGCTGGACATCAAGGAGGAATTTCAATGTGGATGCAGCCACTTCGCTGTTAAACCCCCTTCACTTTACTGTAGATTTGTCTATTTTTTATTATAAACAAATCAGATCAAATCACTTCAAACTAAAAAGAAACATTAATAATATTTATTTTTGAAAGTGCACTGGGTTACATGAAAAATTAACGATTTTATGAGATACTTTCATGTTCATATTGAGCCCTATTAGAAGTTTAGATTCTTTAATGTTGAGAAGATAAAACACTCACTGTCACATACCTTTTGTTTAATTCCTTAAGTTTTGCTGTTGTTTTTGTATTTTCTTCATAATGTGCTGCATACTTAAACCCTCACAGACTACTGTTAGTACTAAGATAAACTATTGTTGCAAGTTGTCTTCTGGTCTGAGGTGGAGTCTGATGTCCATCGATGTATTCTGCAGACCAAACTCTGTATTGGAAGTACTTTGTTGCCATCTAGCAGTCGGCCCTCAGGAGCATGCAGCAAAGTGATTTTGCAGTATTTACATTTTAAAATGTGGGGGAGTGGTGGTGCAGAGGCTAGAGGGTGAGCTTGGGATGGAAAGATTCCCTGTTTGAATCCCCTGACAGTTACAACAAAGCTTGGGTGGGAAAGGTGAAGCATCCACCCTCATTGCCTCAGTTCCTTGCTGAAGGGCCCTTGAGCCCGGATGCTGCGGATTACAACCCTGTGCTCCACACAGAGGCTGTTGCAGCTCGGTGGTTGTGTCAGGAAGGACATCCAGCGTGAAAAGAATAGCCTCATCTTTGTGCAAGTTCACTTATTGTGATAATAATAATAATAGTTTATATAGCACCTTCCAACAACGTCTTTTATTGACCAAAGTGCTTTACAAGATAAAAATAAAAACAGGGCACAATAAATCAATGCAAATTAAAAGTACAGCCACAGTAAAAGGAGGTAAAGGGGATAAAACAGGCTAAATACTAAAAGTTAAGCATCAAAAGCCCTTTTAAATAAATAGGTCTTCAGTTTGGCTTTGAACAGAAGCAGATCAGAGATGGCACGCAGCTCATAGGGAAGAGTATTCCAGGCTGTTGGGCCTGCAACAGAAAAGGACCAGTCCCCCCAATGTTTGCACCTTGAGCAAGGCACCTCCAGCAGATATTGACCAGCAGACGTAAAGCTCTGCGGGGCTGGTGGACTTTCAAAAGCTCTGAAATGTAGGGCGGTGCAAGGCCATTCAAAGCGTTAAAAACAAACAGCAGCAGCTTGAACTGTATCCTGAACTGAACCGGGAGCCAGTGCAAAGAAGAAACAATGACCCCTGGAGAATTAAATTCAGTTCAATTCAATTCAAAAATTCTTTATTAATCCCAGAGGGAAATTATTTTGTTGTTGTAACTCGTTATCCTCATTTCATTAAGAGATGTTATAGATGCTGCTGGCTGTAGGCAGGAAGGATCTCTTGTAAAGGTCCATCCCACAGTGGATCCTAAGAAACTGGCTGCAGATGTCATCCGATCCGTCCACCCAGACTCGACTGATCTCTCAGTTCCCCTGGGCTGTAGGACCGCCAGAATGCCGGGCAGAACTCCTCCCAGTGCGATGGCCACTCCTCCCAGCAGTCTGCCGAGCTCCTCATTACTGCGGACAGCCAACTGTAGGTGCCGAGGGACGATCCCGTGATCCGCAGTCATGAGCCGTGTTTCCTGCTAGTTCCAGGATCTCAGTGGTCAGGCACTCGAGCACAGCTGGCAGGTAGATGAGAATGCATCCACAGAACATCCTTTCAACT